TAACCAAGAACATGCATATGGAGTATAAACAAGAAATGCTGAGTAAAGAAAGCACCTCCACCTTCTTTACAGAGAAGTTTAGTGCAAGTAAAAAAAAAACATAATTTAAATGTCATTTATTTTCCCAAACCAAAGTCTGCCAACACAAAAACACACAGCAAATACTGTTAAAAGCACAGTTTACCCCCCAAAATGATTGTGCTTAGCATTTACTCACACTCACAGCGAGTAGGTCACTGGTTTGAGTCCCGGTTGGGTCAGTTGGCATTTTTTTGTGGAGTTTGCATGTTCTCCCCGTGTTGGCGTGGGTTTCCTCCAGGTGCTCCGGTTCCCCCCTCAGTCCAAACACATGCGCTATAGGGGAATTGAATAGGCTAAATTGGCCGTAGTGTATGAATGAGGGTGTATGGATGTTTTCCAGTACTGAGTTTCAGCTGAATGCTGGTACAGTTGGTGGTTCATTCCGCTGTGGCGACGCCTGATGAATAAAGGGACTAAGCCGAAGAAAAAAAACGAATGAATGAATGAATGTTTAACAGAGCAAAGACATTTTTCACAGGTATATTCCTCTTTTGGATAAACTCATTTCCTTTACCTCAGCTGGGAAAAAATAAAATGAATAATATTAATGATAATAATAAAAATAAATAAATAAAATAATAATAATACAAACAATAATAATAACAATAATAAAAATACAAATAATAATAATAATAATAATAATAAAATACAAATAATATTAATAAAAATACAAATAATGATAATAAAAATATTAATAATAATAATAATATTAATACTACTACTACTACTACTACTACTACTAATAATAATAATAATAATAATAATAATAATAATATTTAAATAACTGAAAACTAACATTTCACAGGAGGGCTAATCATTTCGACTCATGTGAAGACTTTCATGTGAAACCCTACATCTCATGTGTTTTTTTTTATATTAAAAGTTTAAATTGAAATACCTACTATATAGTGTACTTGGTAGGGATCATTTAGGAAAGTGTGCTTGAATTTGTTAGACTTACAGCAAACCCTGCTACAAAAGCCACAAAAAATACTGTTTAAAAGGACCATTTACACACACGCACACACACACTTACCGGCCACTTCATTAGGTACACCTTACTAATACGGGGATGGACCCCCTTTTGCCTCCAGAGCTCCCTTAATTAAGATACTGGAAATATTCCTGAGATTTTGGTCCATTTTGACATGATAGCATCACGTAGTTGCTGCAGATTTGTCGGCTGCACATCCATGATGTGAATCTCCTGTACCACCACATCAAAAGGCTGCTCTATTGGAATGAGCTCTGGTGACTGTGGAGGCCATTTGAGTACAGTGAACTCATTGTCATGTTCAAGAAACCAGTCTGAGATGATTCACACTTTATGACATGGTGCATTATCCTGCTGGAAGTAGCCATCAGAAGATGGAGACACTGTGGTCATAAAGGGATGGACATGGTCAGCAACAATACTCAGGTAGGCTGTGGTGTTGACACGATGCTCAATTGGTACTAATGGACCCAAAGTGTGCCAAGAAAATATCCCCCACACCATTACACCAACATCAGCAGCCTGAACCGTTGATACAAGGCAGGATGGATCCATGCTTTCATGATGTTGATGCCAAATTCTGACCCGACCATCCGAATGTCACAGCAGAAATGGAAACTCATCAGACCAGGCAACATTTTTCTACTCTTTGATTGCCCAATTTCAGTGAGCCTGTGTGAATTGTAGCCTCAGTTTCCGGTTCTTAGCTAACAGTGTGGTCTTCTGCTGCTGTAGCCCATCTGCCTCAAGGTTGGACGTGTTGTGTGTTCAGAGATGCTCTACTGCAGACCTCGGTTGTAACAAATGCTCATGAGTTAATGTTGCCTGTCTATCAGCTGGAACCAGTCTGGCCATTCTCCTCTGACCTCTGGAATCAACAAGGCAGTTGCTCCCACAGAACTGCCGCTCACTGGGTATTTCCTCTTTTTCAGACCATTCTCCGTAAACCCTAGAGATGGCTGTGCGTGAAAATCCCACTAGATCAGCAGTTTCTGAAATACTCAGGCCAGCCCATCTGGAACAACCATGCCACGTTCAAAGTCACTTAAATCACCTTTCCTCCCCATTCTGATGCTCATTTTAAACTGCAGCAGATCGTCTTGATCATGTCTACATGCCTAAATGAGTTGAGTTGCTGCCATGTGATTGGCTGATTAGAAATTTGCGTTAACGAGCAGTCAGACAGGTGAACCTAATAATGTGGCCGGTGAGTGTATATACAGCAGGGGTCACCAACATGGTGATCACATGTGTTGCCCGCAGGCATGTTTTAAAAATAGCTTACCATAGCGCCACTTACCAGTAAGCTTCATCTAATATAGAAGTAATCATTTAAAAATGTAAATATTTGCAGAGATATATAAAAATAAAGTGTAGCACATTGATACATTAAGTACAGGGTATTTCCTACCATGTTAAATCATTGTTGATAACTTTTGTGAGAATCATTAACATGATCAGTGTCTTTACATGGATGAATATCATTAATTATTACCAAAATCATAAAGTATAAATAAAGTAAATTGAGCAAATTTGTTATTTGAGAAGTGTTTATCAAACTGGTAGCCCTCCACATTAATCGGTACCCAAGAAGTAGCTCTCAGTTTCATAAAGGTTGGTGACCCCTGATATACAGTATAGAAAGTGTTAATCAAAATGCCTACTATATAGTGTATTTGATTGGGATCATTCAGGGAAGAGTGCTTAGATTGGCCTACAGCAAACCCTGCTCACCATCTGAATAGTGCAAACAGGTTTTACAGTTATTCTCATTTTAATATAATCATCGACAGCAGATTTTCTTTTAAGACAAAGCTTCAAACACACAAGGCTTGGCATCACAGACTGTAAAGAAAACTGGCACACGGGGTCTATGAGCATCATATTAAGTGCTAATGAGTTCACTAAAGTG